GGTACAGGAAACTGCGAATCCCGCTCCTACAGCCTGGTGGCCCCACAAGGGGGCCGGCGGATTTGGGAATCCTGGGATTTGTGCTCATTTATCTGTGTGGTGTCCGTGGGCCCTTCGAATGTCCTGGCTTACCACGCACGCCCTTGTTCGCGGGGCCCCGAGGGGCGCCTGGGGCCCCTTGGGACGGGCACAGTTCAGAGCGGGGCGGTGCCCCACCTCGCAGGGCTGCTCTCTTCGATCGCGGCGCTCTGCCTCCGTCTCGGCGCCTCCCCTGAGATCCTGGCGTTCAGTCGGGCCTGTCCCTCTACAGGGGGAATATTCAATAATAATAAAATCAATAGTCTGGGGACGTTTTCCCGATTTTTTTTGAGCATTTTTGAAATATTTGTTTTCGATAATCTTTATTTTTCGTCCAAAATCCGCCTGTAGGGGGACACGCCCGACCTATAAGGCTGCTCTCTTCGATCCCGGCGATCTGTCTCCGTCTCGGCGCCTCCCTTGAGATCTTGGCGTTGAAATGCTTCCACAACGGGCGCCTTCGCCCAGTGTCAGGCCCCGGGACCCTCGCAGATGGATCCGGCTCGAAGCGTGGCGCAGAAAGATGGGGTCCAGGGCTCCGGTCGCGATTTTTCGCGATGGTGCAAGTTTTTGGTAACGTCGGATCTCAGGGTCCATTTCGGCGTCTCGGGGCCGTCTTTGGGACGGGGCCATCAAGAAGAGTCTGGAGCGACATCTTTTACCCGGGGGACAAGGCTTAAGTCGGGCATGCCCCTCCGCAGGAGGAATATTCAAGAATAGTAAAACAATAGTCTGGTGACGATGATTCGCTTTTTGTTTCCATGCTTTTTGGTTTATATGCCGCCGGCCCCCTCTTTATCATACTGGGATATAGCAGAGTCGCGTCGGTGCGTCTCGGCGCTGCCTTGGCGCATGAACAGCATGCGGGGGCGGATAGGAGTCATCAGCGCAAATTGAAACGTTGGCGTTATCCTAGTGGCCTTCGGTCCATCCCGACACCGTGCCTGGTTTGTGGGTCTCAGGCCTCTTGTATATGTATTGGGGTGTCGTGGGGAGCCGCTCGGGGGCCTCTTGGAGGCGGTTTGGGCGCCTCTTGGGGGCATCTTGGGGCCTCGTGGGGTATCGTTTGGGCTTCTTGGAGGCCTCTTGGGCGCCTCCTGGGGCCTCCAGGGTTCGACGTAATGAAAGAATCATGACGTCGGGGGTTTGGGTCCGATCGAACAACACAGTGAAGACGTGGCCTCACTGAGGTCCCCGTCTTCGCATCAAGGGCAATACGTCTGGGCGGCTTGGTGCGGAACATCTGCAGAAAGCGAGCCCACATCCCTGATGCTTGTGGCCCTCCTAACTCAGGTCTCCTCCCAAAGGGTCGGGGGGTCCTTGTTCGGTTCATCAGAGGAGGCCCAGACAGCTTCTCAGACATCTGTGGTCCTTCCGAGCCTTCTGACCGAGCCTTCCCCCGTGACTGCCCGCTCGCGCGCGCCGCCGCCGTTTTGGCCCGCCGGAGGCGCTGCTGACCTTTTTGGCCCCGCCGCCTGCCAGCGGGGGGGGGGGCAGCCGGGACCCGCGGGGCGAGGCAGAGGCCGGGGGGCGTTGAGGGGGGTATTGCCAGAGGTGTGCCTGGCCGAGGTGAGCGGCGGGGCTGTGGCGCGTAAGCCACCCGCTCAAGGTCGCGCGTGCGCGCCGCCGTTTGCAGTGTCGCGTGCCACGCTGGCGGCCCGCCGAAGCCACCGCGCAAGCACCCTGTGTCATCGTGCGTGCGACCTGTGTCGTTTCGTCGCTCAGGTGTCCCCCGTTTTTCTCCGCTTCATTTTCGAGCGCCTCTGGGCCTCGTGGCGGGGTGCTCTGGAGGCCGCGGTGGCCTTCTTGGATATCCGGAGGACTCCTCTGGCAACACCCGAGCACTGAAGGACCGAGCCTCCTCCTCCTCCTCCTCCGCCTCCTCCTCCTCCTCCTCCTCCTCCTCCTCCTCCTCCTCCTCCTCCTCCTCCTCCTCCTCCTCCTCCCCCTCCCCCTCCCCCTCCCCCTCCCCCTCCCCTCCTGCCTGTGGCTGCCCAGCTCTCGGGCGCCGCCCTCCGGGGCTCCGGGGCCTGGTGGCCTTTTTCGGGGCCGCCCGCCCTGCCGGAGCTCGGGCCTCGGGGAGGAGCGACAGGGCCCGGCCGCGAGGGCCGGGTGCTGGGTCGGGCGACGGGCCTAGCGCGGGCGGGCGGCGAGGGCCAAGGTGGGGCGGGGGGCTGCGGGCGAGGGGGGAGGGGCGAGGGCGCGGGGGGCGGCAGGCCAGCCACGCGGGCGAGGGTGGGGGCGAAGGAGGGGGCGGGCGGGGGGGCGGCAGAGGAGGAGGGTGGGGGCGAAGGAGGGGGCGGGCGGGGGCGAGGGTGGGGGCGAAGGAGGAGGGGGCGGGGCAGCGCAGGGGGAGGAGGGAGGGGAGGGCGGCGGAGAGGAGGGAGGGGGCGAGGGGGGCCAACGACTGGCCACTGCGGGGGTATCCCCGGGGGAGCTTCGGCCCCCACCTCGAGGAACAGGACCGCATGAGCATAACAACCTTTGGAGGTTCGTGCGGACTTTCATGGGTCGGCGCTGGACCGGAGGCGCCGCCCCAGTCGCGCTCCGCGCGCTGGGGTGGGGGAGGGGTGCGGGAAGTTGGTTCCAGCGCCGACCCAAGAGATCCGTGCTCAGCAGATGTTTTTGTTGTTGGTTCTAGACATGCTAGCCACGCTGGGGGGGCTCTGGCCCTTGACCCCCTGTGGGGCCCATCGGCCTCGGTGCCCCTCTCACGAGGTCGTCGGTACGCTGGGCTTCCCCAGAAGGGTCGGGAGCACTGCCACCCCCCATAGGTGTGGCTGGTCGGCGAATGAGGACAAAAACCGTGGTGGGCGGAGGCTGGGAGGACTCGGAGGCAAAGGCGGAAGATGATGATGATGATGATGATGATGATGATGATGATGATGATGATGATGATGATGATGATGATGATGATGATGATGATGATGATGGATGGTGGTGGTGGTGGTGGGTGGTGGTGATGATGATGATGATGATGATGATGATGATGATGATGCTGATGCTGATGCTGATGATGCTGATGCTGATGCTGATGATGATGATGCTGATGCTGATGCTGATCTGATTGATGATGATGATGATGATGATGATGATGATGATGATGAGATGCTGAGGATTGAGGATGAGGATGAGGATGAGATGGGATGATGGGATGATGATGATGATGATGATGATGATGATGATGATGATGATGATGATGATGATGATGATGACGATGCTGATGATGATGATGATGCTGATGATGATGATGATGATGATGATGATGATGATGATGGCGATGATGATGATGATGATGCTGATGATGATGATGCTGCTGCTGATGATGATGTTGCTGCTGATGATGCTGATGATGATGATGATGATGATGATGATGATGATGATGCTGCTGCTGCTGATGATGATGATGATGATGATGATGATGATGATGATGTTGAGGAGGAGGAGGAGGAGGAGCAGCAGGAGGAGGAAGAGGACCAGAGTAGACTGTGTCAACGGTGCCGTAACACACCACCCCGCCCCATGTACCCACCTCATAAGTGCTTAGAAGCCTTCTTCTACAGGAAGCCCACCCTTGAAAGACAAGCGCAATTTGGGCCTGCCGTTCAGGAGAGGGCAACGCTTTGACTCGGAAGTGCCGCTCATCCTTCTCATCCTTCTACGAGAAGGCGAAAGGGTATGATCGTAGAGTTCGAGGTGTCCAGCGAAGGCCCCATTTTGACAAGGAGCCGCCCCATCATCCGTGGAAGTGTTGCACAGGCTTACGCTTCTGGTTATCCGACGAAGGCATCTATACACCACCACCGTGCCAGGCCAGGGCCATCCTGGGTTCCAGGATCGTGTATAGACCCTCCTGGCCTCGGCCAGGATGGCGTATACACCATGCCAGGGCCAAGATGGCCCTGGCCTGGCACGGTGGTGGTGTATAGATGCCTTTCTGCGTAGGTTATTCCGTTTCAGGAAATCTGAGGACATAACACCATGATGACAAGGAAGCAGCCCATCTGCTCAGCTGTCACACAGGCTCAAGGCTCTGGTGCGAAGTCTGCGATGTTCGAGGCAGCCTCGAGCGAGAGCCCCACTGTCAAGAACGACTTTCCTCCCTCCGTGCAGCTGCTGCAGACTTTTGAGACGGGTGCGTCCGCTCTCCGTCCTTGTAGTTGCTGCAATATTTCAATACTAGTATTAAGGCGGGCATGTCCTCCTACAGGAGGAATGTTCAAACATAGTCAGGGACGATGTTTGATTATTTTCGCGGTTTTGTATATATATATATATATCGACTATCATCAGTTTTCTTACAAAATCCGCCTGTAGGAGGACATGCCCGGCCTACGACTAGTGTGCGCGGCGCTAAGGCGCTAAGCTGTACCACCAGCTATCCTTGTAGCGGTCGCAGGCTTTCAAGACGAATGGGCGCCTCGCTTGTGCGAGGACCACATTGGAAAAAGTGTACCGCCCTCCACCGTTGAGCTGCTGGAAGTGTTGTTAAGGTCCAGGAGTGTATCAGCTGCAGGGGCTCTCGGGTTAAAGGCCCTGTCCGCCCTACCGACACGTCTTGGTCGTGCGGCAGGGAGGAGCTACACCGAGGAAGTGTGGGAGTAGCGGAGGAGGTCGCCCTCGTCGTGCTACTCTGCCGCCCTCGACGCTTGTGTGGCCTCTGGTGCGCCGCCGCCATCGCCGCCGCCCCCCCGCGCCGCCCTCGGTCGGTGCCGCCGCTGCCGCCGTCGTCCGCGCCTCTCTCCCAGCCCCCTCTCTCGCCCCTCCCTCCCTCCTCCCTCCCTCCTCCCTCCTCCCTCCTCCTGCCTCCTCCTCCTCCTCCTCCTCCTCCTCCTCCTCCTCCTCCTCCTCCTCCTCCTCCTCCTCCTCCTCCTCCTCCTCCTCCTCCTCCTCCTCTCCCCCCCCCAGGTCCGAACCGCTCGGAGGCCAAAGCAGGATGTGCACGCGTACGCGGTCCGCTCCCGCCGGCGTGCGCCTGAGCGCGGACGCTCGTGCAACGCAGGACCGCGGAGGGCGCGCGTGCGCACAGGTCCTTGCCCGCTCCGCCGCCGTGCCCTGGCGGCGTGGTCCGGGCGCGTCGCCTCCCCGGCGCAGTGGCCCCGGCGACGTGGGCCCTTCGGCGCCCGCCGCCCCGCGGCCTCCCTTTGGGCTGCCCCCCCCCCCCCGCCCTTTTCGGCATCGTCTCTCCGAGCCCCGCCCCCGCGGGGCCACGGACGGCATCTCAGAGCCTGTGTTCTCGGTTGTTGTTTTTGTTGGCAGATTCGGGCAAGTTTCCTTGCATGGCCTTCGCCCCTTCCCCCGCCCACCCCCTCTCGCCCCTCGTCAGACGAATCCTGGCGTGCAGGTGCCTCTCGACTCGCGTGGTTTCCGCACGTACAAGTCGCCACCGGCTTACTTCAGGTTCAGCCCACCCCCGTCCATGCAAGTAAATTTGCCGGAGTCTACAACATTAGCCTGGCGAAGGACACAACCATGTGCAGTTGTGAGTAACGCGTTGTGGGTGCCGCTTTCGGTGGATCTCCCTATGGGGCCACGAAGCGCGTGAGGGACGTGCCGTAATGGGTGGGGGAGACGCATGCGGGCGGTGCCATTGGGGCTTTCGGTGGGGCTCCCTATGGGCCACGAAACGCTGTCCTGGGTGTGGCTGACGCATGCGGGCGGTGCCCCTCGCTGGAGCTCCCGATGAGGCCACGAAACGCTTTATTGGTTAGGGGTAAACGCATGCGGGCGGTGCCGCTGGGGTCTTCGTGTGGAGCTCCCTATGGGGCCACGAAACGCTGCACTGGGTGGTGGCCGACGCATGCGGTCGGTGCCACTGGGACCTTCGGTGGAGCTCCTTGTGGGGCCACGGGAGGGGGGGACGCATGCATGCGTTGCCATTGGGTCCTTCGGTGGCCACTGGAGCTCCGTACGGGGCCACGAAACTCTGTACCGGGTGGGGGGGACGCATGCGGGCGGTGCCAGTGGGGCTTGGTGGAGCTCCCAATCAATTGGGCCGCGAAATGCAGTACTGGATGGTGGACGACGCATGCGGGCGGTGCCACTGGGGTCTTTCTGTGGAGCTTCCCATGAGGCCACGAAGCGCTGTACTGGGTGTGGCGGACGCATGTAACCACCCCCACTGGGGCCTTGGGTGGAGCTCCCTATGGGGCCACGAAGCGCTGTACGGGTGTGGCGGACGCATGGGGCCACGAAGCGCTGTACTGGGTGTGGCGGACGCATGTGGCCACCTCCACTGGGGATTTGCGTGGAGCTCCCTATGGGGCAACGAAGCGCTGTACTGGGTTTGGCGGACGCATGTGGCCACCCCCACTGGGGCCTTGGGTGGAGCTCCCTCCCTATTGGGTCACGAAGCACTGTACTGGGTGTGGCTGACGCATGTGGCCACCGTCACTGGGGCCTTGGGTGGAGCTCCCTCTGGGGCCACGAAGCGCTGTACTGGGTGTGGCGGACGCATGTGGCCACCCCCACTGGGGCTTTACGTGGAGCTCCCCCTGGGGCCACGAAGCGCTGTACTGGGTGTGGCGGACGATGTGGCCACTCCCAGTGGGTTCTTGGGTGGAGCTCCCTATGGGGCCACGACTGGGTGTGGCGGACGCATGTGGCCACCCCCACTGGGGCCTTGGGTGGAGCTCCCTATGGGGCCACGAAGCGCTGTACTGGGTGTAGCGGACGCATGTGGCCACCCCCACTGGGCCTTACGTGGGGCTCTCTGTGGGGCCACGAAACGCTGTACTGGGTGTGGCGGACAAATGTGGCCACCCCCACTGGGGCCTTGGGTGAAGCTCCCTATGGGGCCACGAAGCGCTGTACTGGGTGTGGCGGACGTTGTGGCACCTCCAACTGGGGCCTTGGGTGGAGCTCCCTATGGGGCAACGAAGCGCTGTACTCGGTTTGGCGGACGCATGTGGCCACCCCCACTGGGGCCTTGGGTGGAGCTCCCTATGGGGCCACGAAACACTGTACTGGGTGTGGCGGACGCATGTGGCCACCCCCCACTGGGGCCCTGGGTGGAGCTCCCTATGATCCCTATGGGGCCACGAAGCGCTGTACTGGGTGTGGCGGACGCATGTGGCCACCCCCCACTGGGGCCCTGGGTGGAGCTCCCTATGATCCCTATGGGGCCACGAAGCGCTGTACTGGGTGTGGCGGACGCATGTGGCCACCCCCACTGAGGCCTTGGGTGGAGCTCCCTATGGGGCCACGAAGCGCTGTACTGGGTGTGGCGGACGCATGTGGTACCCCCATTGGGGGGGGGCACGGGAGGAGGAGACGCGGGGACCGTTTCTTCAAAACGAGGACCCAACACCACAGGATGGTTGGGAACTAGATCGACGGATGTCACGTCTGGGGATCTGAGCCTCGTAGCCTGAAGGGAACAGCGCCGCTCCACCTCCCCAGTTGGGGATGGGTTTCCCTCGAAACCCGAATGGAGCAGTCGCTAGCCCCCACCTACGGGGGCAAGTCGGCCAGTGCAGCCTAGGCCACGCCAGTTGGGGTACAGTCAGCCCGTATGGTAAGGGTCAGCGATTCTCCAAGGTTGCCCGTGCATCCTTCCCCTTCGGCCCATCCTTGGCCGCTTTCGCTGGCCGCGCTCCGCACGCAGAGTGTCGACCCGGCCTTCCAGGGCCCTTGCGTCCTTGCCGTGCATCCTTATGATACGGGTTGACCGTGTGCACGGATAGGTCAGCACCGCAAGAAATCGCCACCGGAGCCCCACGGACCCCATCTTCCTGCGGCACTGCTCGGGCGGCGTCGGTCTGCCGAGAGGCCCTGGGGCCCGCAGCCGCGCGGCAGCGCCCGCCGTGCAGAGGTGGCGGCGCGCCGGCAGCTCGGGGACGCCGCGCGGGGGTCCGGAGGCCTCGGTCAGGCGATGCCCGGGGCCCGTCCCTCTAGCGGCCCGATGGACTCCGCCCCCGCCCGCCGCGCTCGCGCTGCGGCCGCCGGCCGCCGCCCCCGCGCCCTCCCGGCCGCCGCCGCGGGCGCGCTCGCGCTGCTGTGCGGCAGGCCGGCGGCCCCCCCTCCCCCCCGCGCGCTGCCTTCGCCCCCGCGCCCGGGGCCCGCCGCGGCCCGGCGCCTGCCCGCCCGACGCTCCCGTGAGGCTCTCGTCGGTGTCGTTTGTCCGACCCCCCTCCCCATCCCCTTCGAGACCCCCACCAACTGACCCCCCCACAGTTGGGGATACACCCCTCGAAGCCCGAAGGGGACGGCCTACACATCCCCATCCCCTTCGATCGGGTATGGCTATAGGACCCTGGGCAAGGGGACCCGGTTCGTGGTAGGGCCCCGAAGAAGCCTTCGAATTGGCCTGCATCACCAAACCAGGTCTGCCATAGCTGCTTTTTGTTCGGGTGACGGCAGTTCCGGTTTGTGGAAATGGGACGGGGGGGCGCCCCCGGTACAGATCTTCAAACCAGGTGAAGCCCGAAGGGGGCGGCCTATACATCCACATCCGGGGGAGCAAATCGGCCAGTGGGGCCTGGGCCACGCCGCTGGGGATGGGGATCGGTTGAGCGATACTCATCTCGGCCTCCCAGATGCAGAGGCGGAAGAGGTGCCCATGCCCTCGCCTTCCCCTTTTCTGGGGGGTTCTGGGAGGTCCTCGTCGCCACCGCTGGATTCGCGTCGAGATCCTGGTCAGGACGCACCCCGGGAGAGGTTCGGGGAGTGGCGGCATCGGTACCTTTTGGATTCCGCAGGGTCGGAGCAGATGGGGTCGGAGGATCGCGCCGCATCGCCGATGCATCGACGATGCGGCTCGATGTGCAGCCCGGTTTCCCCACGCCGACATCGTTGATGCATCGCCAGAGTCGCCAGTGCATCGCCGATGCATCGCCGATACATCGGCGATGCATCGGCGATGCGGCGCGATCCTTGGACTCCATTTACTCGGACCCCATCCAGGAGGCTTCTAGAGATCCTGGCGTTACAATTTTTGTCAAAAAGGCGTTTCCCCTTGGTTTCAGGCCACGGGACCCTCACACATCGATCCGGCTCGAGACGTGCCGTAAAAGGATGGGGTCCCGGGCTTCGTTGTTGTTTTTTTGGCGGTGTCGCAACTTGTTATTGCAGCGTCGGATCTCAGGGTGTGGCGTCGCGTCATGGGGAGGCGATCAATTCGGCGGCGGGCGAGGGGGGAAATGAGAAGGAGAAGAAACTTCAGAGGGCGGCGGGACTTCTCTCAGAAGCCCTCGCGCCCTCTGAGAAGTTTTTGTTGTGTCTTCGGGGAAGGCTTTTAGTAACCTTCTGAGAAGGCCGGGTGACTTGGAGTTTTCTGAGAAGGCCCGCCCCTTTTCATTTCCCCTTTGGGCTCGCCGCCGACAGAAGGGGGGGACAGCGAGGGCTGCAAAAAGGTGCCCTTCAGGGCCCAAACGGGGGCCATAGGGGCTCGAGAAGTGTACCTTTCTGTCCCCCCAGAGTATCGTTCCCCCATTAAGCGACGCCCCACGACGTCCCGAGTCAGTAACCGAGTGTCAATAGGATGTAAGTGTGGAGAGGGGCGGCGAGGCCGAAGTTGATAATCCCCCGGGGAAGTTGCGAATCGAAGTTGCTGTTATCATATGTTGACCAGCAGCAGCATCAAAAACGCAGAGCGTGGCAGCGGTGGTCTCACAAGTTCAGTTTTCGCAATCACGAGCGTGTGGTAGGGCTATGGGATTCTCACGATTTCAGTTTTCCCAAGTCACGAACATGCGGCACGGCCATGGGATTCTCACTTTCTCAGCCGTTCCCGAGTCAGGAACGTGTGGCAGGGTCATGGGGACCGATTGGATATTACATTTACATGCGTTGTTCGAACAGGCAGAGCATTGGAGTTACTTTTTAAGTGCGTCCCTTACACGGTTCGTGGCCCCACCTCTTCCTCCTCCTCCTCCTCCTCCTCTTCCTCCTCCTCCTCCTTCTCCTCTTTCCCCTCCTCCCCCCGCAACTGCCCGGGCTCGAGCTTCCCTGAGTTTCCGAGACTCCAAGCTTTCGAGCCTCTTCGAGGCACCGAGCCTCTTCGCCCCAGGGGCAGCGATAGGGGGGGATAGGCATAAGGTGACACATCGATCCCCAATCGCCTGTGATCGCAGAGAGTGGTTCGATGGCCTGAAGCTGCCCACGAACGCGCGCATTCACGATCGGGCGCCCATCGTCGATGCATCGGCGATGCATCTCCGATTCCAGGTCGATGCTCCCCCCCCGATGCCTATCCCCCCACGTCGTTGCCCCTCAGTTTGTCGCGAGCTTCGCAGATGGCTCACCCCGCCGAGCGCGCCCAGGTCCTGGCCCAGCAGGCCGAGGCCCTGAAGCACGTCGTGATCCAGAGCGCGAGCCCGAGCTCGAACGAGATTCTGGAGCGCATGGCCAAGCAGAACGAGAGGATCCTCGACGAGATGGCCTTCGTCGCGGACAGGATCGCTATTGCCGAGATGCGCCAGTGCCAGTCGAGCGCGCAAGGCGCTGACGCAGCCGGAATGATTGCCTGCTTGTTCAAGGCGGACAGCGCCTCGTGGTCTGTGGTCTGTGAGCGCGCATCAAGCCGTCCTCGATATGGTCTGCAACGGTGGTTCTCTCAAGGGCATCGAGCACGGGCGCGTCTTCAACGAGAAGGGCGCGAGGCGCATCGAGCTGGCGGTAGCGTTGTTCTACAAGACCTACTGCGAGAAAGACGCGCCCTTCCGCGACATCTTCGAGAATCGCGGAGAGCCGCCTGAGAACCTCTTCGGGCTCACGCCGAGCCTCAAGTCGAAGGTGCTCGAGCTCGCCAAGGAGGAGGACGTCGAGCTCGGCTCCGAGAGCGCGCGGCGCCTCAGCTTCGGCTCCTACGCCGAGCGCGTCGAGATCCCCTCCGAGCCCCCCAACCTCCACAACCTCGTGCTGCCGATCAACGGGGGCTTCGAGCCCGTCGAGAAGATGCCCGGGTAGCTCTCCTCCAGCGCGCCGAGCGATCAGCTCTTCGCGCTGATCCCCCACGAGGTCATGTCCTTCATCAATCGGTGCCGCGACAGCGGCGCGGAGGAGAGCAAGGGCCGCGCGCGAGCCACCGCGCGAACGGTCGTCGAGTGGCGCTGGGGCCCCGAGCGCACTGCAGACGTGGCCCGCGAGCTCCAGCGCGGCAAGTGCGTGGGCAAGCGCTCCAAGCATGACTGCGCGGAGACCGAGAGGCAGCTCCGCTTCGAGACGCTGGCCCTCGACCGGCGCATCAGTGCGGATTTCCAAGACTTCGGCAAGATCCACGACGACCGCGCCAAGATGCCCAGCCAGCGCAAGCCCGATGAGAGCGAGGCCGAAGCGAAGGTCGAGCCAGAGGCTGGCATGTCGACGCCACAGGGCGCTCGAGAGCCGAGCGGCGGCCAGCGGCGAGCGCCCGGCCCGCGAGCGTCCCGAGCCAAGCGCTCCCGTGCTTTTCGCTGCGAGTGTGCCGCGCGAGCGTCTCGAGGCACGCGCTCGACCCCCGTCTGTTTTCGAGTTCCAAGCGAGCGTTCGAGCGCGCGCGAGTGGCGTTCCAAGCGGCGGGGTATTACTCCCCCCTCTCGCCGAGTGATCGTCGATCAAGCATCGAGCAATCGAGCAGGATTGATCCTCCATCCTCGGATTGAGGATCCGAAATCTTGAGTCCGAGCATCTTCGAGCCCCTTGGGTCCTAGATCCGAGGCTCGCCATGCTTGGGCTCGAGGATCCTGGGCCCTCGATCCGAGGATCGAGGATCGAGCCTCGGCGATCGTCGATCGCCCCCGTCGCCGTCCTCGGGCCCAGACTGCCATCGAGCAGGTTCGATCCTCGGATCGAGGGTCCGAGATCTTGGTTTTGAGCTTCTGCGAGCACCTCGGCTCCTAGATCCGAGGATCGCCAAGCTTGGACTCGACGGCCCTGCGCCCTCGATCCGAGGGCCGAGGATCGCGCCTCGACGCCGACAGCGGTCGCGCGCGCACGCGCTCGCGCGCAACGCACAAATCCACGCGCGCGTACACGCGCGCACTCACACGCGCGCGCGCACATTCGCGCGCACACACACATGCATGCACGCAAACAACGCACACGAACGCGCACGCACACACACGCACACTGAAACTCCGTCGCGCACTCGCACACATACGCACTCACGCACTCACGCACGCACGCGCACGCACGCGCACACGCACAAAACAACAACAACAACAAACGCACACACATCAGCAGCCACAACAGCAACGGCACCCAGCAAAGCAACAGCACAACGAACAACGCCACAAACAACATCAATCACAACAACAGCACCAGCAAGCAGCGCAACAGCAGGCCGCAACAGCAACACTACAAACAGCAACAGCACACTCATCAGCCGTCACAACAGCACAGGTCAAGCCCACTTCAGCCGAAGCATCGCCGAGGCCCACCGATGCGTCGCCGAGGTGGCGCGAGCTACGTGGTGCAGTGGGCGCGAGCTCTGCGGTGCAAGCACTGTTCGGGTCAAACCCGCTGAGGACGCAACGCTGTCCGCGGCCCATTCAGGATCATATTCCGAGCTCAATTTCCGCCCCTGCAACGAATATCAGGGTGACGAGCGGGCGCCAGGCGGCGCGCAGACACGACTTCGAGGAGGTGAAGACCGAGGGCGGCGTCGATCAGCACGAGGAGACGCAACCAACCAAGCAGGAGGAGGACGCCAGCAAGCCCGAGGACAAGAGCCTCGACGACAGGAAGCTCGAGGTCAAGACTCCTGCAAGGTCGAGGACAAGACGCTTTAGAACAACGGCGAGCTTGAGGACAACGCGCACTTTGAGAAACAGCTCTCGGACAAGAAGCTGGAGGGCAGCAGCGAGCTCGACGACGGGAGCTTCGACGAGAAGAAGCCCGAGGACAAGGTCGAGATGGACTCCTGCCAGGTCGAGCCCGAGCAGAAGCGCAGCTGCCGTTGCAAGCCGGCAGCGACGAGGCAACGCGATTCTTTGCACCCGGTGCCGAGCTCTGCCTCGCCTCCTGCCTCGGCCCCAAGTCCCCGCTCATCCTTGAGGCGCCTCGCGAGCCGCTGGGGGCTCTGAGCG